AGAGGTTTAGGATGAGAAACATGTCTCACAAAATCTCCAATCATTTTTATCGTGAAAAAGACACTCAACAAGCCGCGTTTGAGTGACTTGTCTGACAAGACGGACGTACCTCGCGTCGGTATTTGTCGTAAGTCAAAACGTTTAATTGAATATTGACTCCATATGGGCTTTTGACGAACATGATATTCAGTTTCGACAATCATTATCAGCCCATAGATTTCTACTCAATCAGTCGTACATGAATACGAAACATGCTTCCATCTAAAACCGAGTGAAATATACATGGACTGATTTTTAAAGTACCTCAGTTTCAAAACAAAGCAGGCCTGATATATTTATGAGTTTCTGTGGCCAGTTTATCACAGTGCATAACTGACCATCGTCTGTTATGTCCGTAGCCCGAGTGACTTGAGATTAACTCAAGCTCTTTTCTGTCAAAATACCTCATCAGACTGTCTGTATAGTACACGAAAGGAATGTTAAGCGTGAAGTGTCCTAGCGGTCTAAAACTGCGTAATCTCATCTGCTTCCAGCTTTGTTCTCCATGTGACTCTGAGAGACTCCCATGATGCTGATTTTTGGGGCACGAAACAAGATTCTGTGAGTGGTTAATGGTTGATGATTAGCCTTCAACTAGTCTTCTTTGAATTGTTCGACATACTTATGACAAGCAAGAATAATCCCACGCCCATACTATCTTCGCGCGTACCAGAATCCTTCAGTTTACGTATGTACAGCTTCCTTCATATTTTACGATATGTCGCCTCGTACCTTCACGTGTTGTTAGGGGATGAACACAGTCTTGAAGGTTGCAAAATTTTTCATAACAGCAATATGTTTCTCCCACTTACTCAGCATGCTCTTAATGTATCATGATTGTAATCAGCCCTGCCTCACCTTCGGGCGCGACCTCTCGGCGTGATCGATCGAGCCAACACTGTTATAAATATACTTTTTTGCTGGGTTACGTAATCACGAGCTGTCTTGTGTGCAGTCGGATGATATTTGTTTCCATATCTCTGTGCTAGTGGGACGAGTTATTTTCCAACCAGAGGAGACAAACTGCTAGACAGCAGTGAGCAGAATTTTATTGAAAGGGTTGTTTTAAAAATAGAATTCTACACATGAAAAACACCATTAGTTTAATTGGCAAGCTAATGAGAAGCATTTTTTAAGTGAATTAATGAGACGCGTTTTGTTGCCATGCCTTCGGCAGATAATTGTAATTTGTTGGAAATGAAGTTTCTTCACGCATGCTACATATAAGCTGCAACAAAAGGCACTGATAATCTTTGTACATCCAACATGACAAGTGGTTTGCCGGTCCAAAGTGTTTATTTCGTCAACTAATTATCACCTCTTTGTGATACAGAACGCATAATTAGGAACGTTGTCCTGCTTGATAATCACTAGCCCTTGCCTGATTGAAAGAATGAATCGCATCATCGTGTGTGCCAGCGTCGAAAAATTAGCTAGCTTCATAACTACTATCAGATATGATCAGGTATTTAGGCTCAAAGACCGAAAACGCCACCAATAAGATGAACGGACGCTGCCTCGATTTACGACTTACAGAGAACCTGTCCTGATATGGCTGACGTGCTACGGCACTTGTGTTTCAAGCAAGCTTAATGTTATGACCAAATTTAGTAGCAGCCGGCGTGTCTATCTGAGGGCTATAAACTGCTGAGGATGCTAAACCCAGAACGGCGAAATTAGTCCACCAGGTATCGTTTTACCTGTCATCGATCATGTGACATGAAACAGAACAGTCTAGTCTGGTTAGTTTGACAACACTGGTTTCAGTCCTCTGGCTTCACGACCAACAGGCTAATCACCTGGGAAGAACAAAGTCCGCAAGCGGCAGACAAGAGGAATCAAAATGCGCAATAAGCAACAGGTTATTTGAAATACTGTGTTTAATTTTTCTGGGCGATTTAGAACGACCCTCTCAATGAGGCAAACTGGACAATTCTAGTTACTGGGATTCAGACGATCGGCCTCAAACAGACAAGAATATGCTGTAGGAATTATTTAGATTTATATGGCACTATCTCAAAAAATTAAAATACAATGCTTTCTCATTATAAATGTAAATTAATTAGATAATACAAATAACTGCAGAAAATGTGACCAGCCGAACTAACAAGATAGCCATCAGTCAACTGATAAGGTGTTTCTTAAAAGTGCGATAATTAAATGAAGCGAACAGTTTGTTAAACAACGCCAAATAAGAGTTTAGCCAGATAAGCAAGGATACTTATAAATTTAGACCAGGTACCTATTCTGCATACAACCATGTTACTGATTACATTATCATAGTACGCAGCAAACAGTAGCGGGAACTAAAGAAAATAACAAAACCAATTTTTTGTTAACAAAGCAAACACACTTCAAAGAAATCGAATTTGAACATCATAACAAACGTTGAATTTTGACCATATCGAATAAACCTCAGTTAAGACAACACTGGCCCGCTTTGTATTTTGTGTAACAGATCTACGGAAATTATCAGGGAATGGAAAGTGATGTTTCTAAGCAGTTTTTCATTTACTAGTGTTACTTTTTGTCTTAAGCTTGCAGAAAGCATAACTACCTGATAACACGACGCATATTACTTTATCGTTTGTTTTCTCTCACGTGGTATCCTGTTTTAGACAGGCACTGGTAAGTATTCTCTTTGGCAAAACACTCGGAAGAATAGACATTCTTTCTTAGCTACATGTCACGGAAGTTGACGAAGCGACTTGTACAAGCCTATAATCTGAGAAATTAATATTACTGTCGCCGCTTCCAAAACTTTCAAGCGAAATGTCTGACTTACCTTCAGCCTTTTGAGTTCCGTTCTAGTAACGTCATGCACAGATTTCAAAAGCAAACAAAACATTGACAAATCACTCGATAGTAATAGTAACCTGGGCTCACTTTGAGTGAGTATACAGTGGCATTAATGGGCGGTTTTCAATTATTCATACAAGCTCATTGAATAACTCGGCAATGCGTCCTATCTCATGACTGACGGATACCAGCACCCCAGTTCTTGTACTTATCACACTCCCCTGTGTTCTAGTATGGCCGTTAGCTCCTGGTTTGTTAAAGCGCTAGCGGATTTTATGAAATAATTGTCTATCACCAGCTTTACGTAGAGTCAGTATTTATACTTTCTCTTTCATCTCCTAATCAGCTTCTTTACTGCTGGCAATTATGCCAGCATACCCGTCTTGGTACTTAATCGCATGGATGCATAACTTGAATCAGATAGCAAGTTTCCAAACAATCACAATATTTAGTTTTGTTCTCACATAACCTTACTTCAAATGAAGTGAAATAATGTCTTTCCTACTCATAAAGGACATTAAGCAACAGTCATCCTAACAATTCGTAATTTTGCAACATTTGTTTAAATGACTGAACCTCCAGCACTTGCTGAAAACACATTTGAAAGGCGTCGTGCAATTTAGTGTATACTGGAAATCTTTATATTTATTACTTTTGCTTTATAGCACTTTTCAACATGTTTGGACAGAATACGTGCAGTATTTCATCGATATGATTGTCTGTACACACTTAATACTAATTCTATGCATCGTCTATATGTAGCAAGCCTCCAGATTTGAAAAAAGCCAACTTCTGGCGTTTCTCCAAAGATTGCTTCCGTGAATTGCGGCACACAAAGTAGGCAAGTTTAGTGTGACAAATTATCCTACTGCGATGTTGTCGTGCAATCTACTTGTCAATCTAAAGTGTCCCAGCATTATGGCATCCTTCTCTGAAGAATAAACAAAAGCGGATCAGACTAACACTTCATTGTCATGCTCTGTTGCTGTGAATTATTGAAGACCAAAACTCATTGTACTGTCCAAGAACTGCTAAGCATCCAAATGTATGTAAGAGGTGCACAAATACTTTATTTGACTTAAGTTTCCATTTCGCATTTACTTTTTGAATTGTTGATTACGATGACTTGTTTATCCTGGATCACACTGCCGACCGTCAGAAAATGAATGTGCTGACTGGTGCTGCCAGGGTGTTTTGGTAGCTGACGACACATTTCGGATACTCGTGAGGTGAGAGAAAACCTCGAGTTCGCGCTGCAATATCTAAGTTAAATGCAAGCTTAACTCCCAGTCTCTAAGGGGGTGACACCATACGTTTGCATGTTCGCTCCCGTGTTTTCGTAAAGTGAAGACATGCTACAATTCTGCGCCTAGTCAGACTCGGAAGTGCACGTGAGTGTACTGAAATATGAAAGCATACGTAGTGACCACTCAGACCATCCAAAAGTCATACCGTGGTTATGTATACGTGTTTACAATGTGCAGCCACGGTATCTTAAGCATCCGGAAAGTATTTTGAAGCTAAGCACATATTTTGTCGCGACTTGTTGCTCTCTTGTGCACAACTTTTAGACGGACGAACCAGTCAGTAGGAAATGCGATGCAACTTGTAATACCCACAATCACTTACTATAATTGTTGGCCTTATGTGGGTTTTACGCCCTCCCAATTGTGCTAAAATTCCTTGCGTGATGGAATCACTTCTGCTTACTTCTCGTAATTTATCCGTGAGTCCTGTTGCACACGGTCAGCCATACGCTCATTTTAACTTCAGCTTAGCGTATCCCTGGTATTCATTACCAATCGAAGATCTCGCTTGATTGACCAGTCGATTAACAACCAAATATTTTTCTCCTTCATCATCCCAGGTCAATTGCTGATGAAACCAACGATAAACGCCTGATCTAATCGTCTCAAATGATACAGGTTTTATTGCGTAGCACCAATCCCATTCGATGCAATTAGATATGATCTACAGGTCTACTACGTAGCAGATTAAATGTGGCATGTTGTGGTATTTTCCTACTACCCCTAGACATGTGTATATGTTAAATAGGTGTATATGTTAAACGTTGTGATTAGTAACAGATGGTCTATAGTGTTTGAAAGTGGATAGACTGATCTCGTTTGTCTCTTTAGATAGGACCTTATTGTGTAAAATCAGGGCTCCGACTGGATTCGAATCAGTAACAGAAACACCCAAACGCGACAAGCGCTCTGCCAGCTAAGCTGCGAAGCCACGCCAGGAGCTCGGAAATTTTACATTTGGACTCTGTTACCCACCCGTCTCAATGTCTGGCATGGAATCCGCCAAATGATCCAAAGGATCGACTGTCCCGGCGGGATTTCTTGGACAGTACACGCTGGAATCTACCAACACTTCCGTTGTTAATTGAACGGTCTGATGTTGACAACGAGATCGGTGATACGTTCCTTGATATACTTTATACGCGTAACTATCTGAGTGGGCTTACTAAATAAGCGACAAGTTCGAGCCATGTGGTGGTGCGAACTAACATTTCTCGTCATATGAAGAGGACAATCAATGAAGTTTTCTCCAGAAACTTTTGGAAACACGCGCTACGCAGAGCTCTGTGGTCAAGTTGTCTGATGTGGCCCGCAAGGCAGTTCAAAACGTAACTACCAATGAAAGATCAGTTGCGCATCAAATAAACTATCATATAATCGTAAGGTGGATCAGAAGTGTAATGATATCATGCATGACACGGTCTAAAGGTTCACACACGTGTACAGAAATCTGGCGAAACCACAAGTTGAAGCACTTTAGCAATCCACCACAGGCTGAGAGTTTCAAAGCGTTAGTTGGTTAGCTAAGATCAGAGAGAGGAAGATTTGTCCACAGTTAACGCAAAAAAAACGTTTCATAAATTTTCCGATCGACCCCAGTAGGTTTCAAGCGCTGGTAAGAACATGCCTGGGGAGACTTAAGCTTATTTTTGGCTGTAAGTATTTAATACATTGATTGAATATTGTGATAGAAACGTTTCTGACCCTGACTAGACTGTCTCAGATAACGTAATTTACCGGACAGAACACTAAGTACAAAACACCTTTCAGCTAATATCTACAGACAGCCTTAAAAATGACTGACCCCTTTGCAAGCAATTCGCCCCATTGACCGATGACTGCTTCGACCTTGTTGGGTCTCACCCACACAAAAATTGTTGCAAAATCAAATAGTACAACATAGAAAATAAAGCTTAACCTGCGTTCAAGAAACTCGACGATTGCAGCCCCATGGTTTAGATTCTAGGCTACAACCTGAGGCTTGTTTGCGAGCCATGGTTTAGTTTCTGCGGTATATGTGGTGCTGTTGAAACCGAAGCTGTTTTCTACCACTTTTCCTGCGTCAGTGGGACCACCTATTTGCACTAAATCTTCTTGAACCCTCTGCGATGGCATGAAGGATGCTTGCTCGTTCGCAATTTAACCAGAAAATGGCTGACTGAATCAAGCTTGTAAGAAAAGAACGCAATATAAGTGAAAAATTAAAAACAGAAACTGTTTCTTTGCGGAAAGTTGGGCGGGGAAAAACCATCCCTAATTATCGGGCTTTAGGTATGTCCGCGTTGTTTGTCCGTGGCATGGGGACGACATTGCATGCATGAGTTTACATCCATTTACAGAAAACTCATAACATGTGCAAACCGATCGAACAACAAGCCGGTAGGTTGTTCAAAGAAGCTTCCACCAGTAGGATGTGGTAATCTATTACAAGTGCTCTATATTGAGCGGGAGAGAGACAAAAATTGAATCTGATATTTGCGATCCATTACTGACCTGAATCCAATGTTGCGTCGCTCACACCCTTCCCTGTGACAGAATGAAGTTACAAAAATGAGAAAATCCCTGTTCGGCTTAGGATTTCTACCATGCAGATGTGTAACTTCAAGGCAGAGAAAAATCGCACGTTGGTTACAAGATATCAGTCTCAATATAGCTCATTCGTCGGGTACATTATCTTTCTCACAGAAGTTTGCAATTCGGCCCTCGTATCAGCAAGATGAACATTTTGGTCACAATGTCAACAACCACCATTTGGTATGATGAAAAACTCATTTTCATACGTTCACAGACAACCACCGGTAAATAATATTCAGTCTGCCTGATAGACTTATCTGTTTTGTGTCGTCCGATATATAACGCTGTGGTCATGAGTACGCCGTCCTTCTGTAGGAGAATAATGCATTAAACTAATATTTTAAATCATCAGACTCCTAACAGAGACAATAAAATATCTTGATGGTAATTATTGATAATCTTGCCGTACACCATTCTGTCGAGGAATCGAAGTAAGTTGGTTTGATCGCGAAAGTGTATGAAAAAAGACGGTCGGCCACTCCATCGCCAATCGACTAAATTTCAGTTCCGTTTTTAGCTTTCATTGGGTAATTGTTACTGTGACCTATGGAAATGGCAAATTTTAATGGAACATAACTTCTCCACACACGCGAGATAGCATGAAGTGGTTCAACAAGTTTAGGGGAGATATATGGTTTTAGATCACTATTTATCCAACTCCAGCTGAAACGACAACCCAAAGAAGTCAACTCCTGTACAAGAATCACTTAGAACCGTTTTCAAGGACTTTTCTAAGAAGGACTTTTGTAGTGCACTTGAATGCAACGCTAGAAACCATTAAGGGTAAGGATGTAAACTGATAACAGTGTTAGTTCCTTCAAAATTCGAGATTCTGCCACATGTTTAAACAGACGGATAAACCCACCAATGACATCCACATATTTGCGTCTGCTACAAAATGCTACCTGTCAGTTTGTTTCACTCTGCGGAAATAGGAAAATATCAATGTTTGAGGAGTGTAGACACAACCGCAAAACGAATGTTATCACATTACTGCACTAATAACTTACCTGAAAATCTACACAATTTTATTTCTGCTTGTTGGCTACTGAATGTCTACACCTGATGGCATATGGACCCGTTCAACTAAAAAAAGAACAGATGTAGACATTCGAACAACAATTTCCCAGTTTCTTGACTTTTTCTAAATGTTTCGCTAAACAGGGCCATCGGTTGACTGTATTTCCGTTGGTTTCCTATTTGGTTTCACGGACAAATTTCATAGTAAATTTGCCTGACTGATAAGTTACACCCACAGATTTATATACACTATGTCAAAGTTTCTTGCTAACGAGGTAATCGTCCAAAACTGTTAAGTGCGTAATACTATTAGCCTATTTACACGTGTAATTTTGGCGGTACCTGCAAACGTGACAGGGTTGAGGCTTGCCTTATTTTTGCTGACTAAATTGGCTCAGTATCATATACTAAATTGCAAATTTGGTGAGAATACATACAACATTGATCAAACCCAAATCCTAAATATACCTACTACTAATTACCAAATACTTTTAACTGCACGCTCTATGAGCTTATCACACGCCTGTAGAAGTACAGAGTAGTCTTTTCAACATGACCCCGTTAACGTGGTCAAGACCTTTCTGGACAAGTCTGATTAATAAAGCCACTGCGAAAGATGGCTTAACGTAATCATCATTTCGGAGTTTGTGATACATTGGTCACATTCTGTTTTACTTTCGTAAACAATAGTACTTACATATAACATGTATGCTTAGACCTACGCCCTTCAGTAGTCATACCGAGGATGTCCATAGGGCCATGCAGTTATTAGAAAATGATGTGTAGGACGGGCTACAACAGATCATGTGAAATAATTATACTGGCGGAAATTTTCCATCTAACGTCGACAGACTAGAACGAAACTTCGGGAACAACATTCTTACATAACGGACGTTTGCGATCAGACTGATACTTGGAGCAAGCATGGTGTGCATTTGGTGAGAAAAAATAAACAAGACGCCGAACTAAACCAGTGCAAACCAGTGGGCAAACGCGAGGTAACGGATTACTCAAGCCGTCACCAGTTGACTGACCAGTGGTCCAGGTTATCTGTAACAAGTCTGATCAGTACCTCGATCTAACAATCGTATCAGCTGGGCTACAAAACCACACCTGATGTTCAGAAATTTCACAACTGGTTCAAATCCAGCTAAAATCTACACTGAGAAATCCTCCTTGGACGTTCACTCTACCTGGTCGCTTGATAACTCCTATATAACACAGTGGTTTGGGTCGGTAACTAGGTCGAAATTTAAAATTTCTGAGCCACCGGCCTATCTTTGTAGTTCAGCCGAAAAAGCAGGTGTTACGTCTGGGCATACTCTATCTGTCACTGGTTCGAATTAAATGCAAGTGTTTTGCGTTGGAACATGCTTTTATCCAAGAAAAATTTACTTCTGTCCTAGTTGGCCGATTTATTTCATGTATGCAATTTTGTCAAGCTGTCCTCTGTCTGTATCTTTTACGGAGTTCGTTCACAGTGTCTTCATCTAATAATTATTTGTATTCTTCTGTAAAGCATCATTCCTTTCAGATTTCGCTGTTCCTCTGAAATCCCGTCAACTTATTTAGACTCATCTGTCATGTCAAGTTATTGACCACCAATTCGGGTCGTTTTAGAGTATTTGTCAAAGAGGCAAACAATTTTTGTTGTACTACTGAAAAGCTAGTTCCCTTCTAGACATCTGTTCGCAGTCAGTCTTAAAGACAATTTCTTGTCCACAACCAGAAACCTGTAATCTCTGCTAATCATCAACTCTAAGAAGATAGTCTAAAAACTGAAGCAAACTCTCTTGATTTTTAGTTCCCAATGTGAATACAATGCTGTTGCCTTCTGGATTGTCGTAATAGTTAATATCAACTTAGTGCAGCCCGTGTGGCCTAGTCATGGGAATGTTATCACGTGGAGTATAAACCTTAATAAGCAAATCAGCACGCCTGCATAACGCATTTGTCCAAGGAATAAATATACGACTTTAGTGCATAGAGTGGATTGCACAGTTTCTATCCAACCGTATCTGATCAACATATACTAAATAACATTTAGGATGCTATCTAATTCACTAATCTTATGTCTCAGTAATATTACACAGAGGCAAATTTGTGTTCATTACCGGGAATCGAGTTCACAAGTGTGAAAGTGCTGTTGGTTGCGAATGAAAGGCAGGCATCTGTGGCCCTCGATGACTGAGATAACCTGACTGACTTTGCCCAAATTTGTGTCACACTGGGTGTTATTATCGGTACAATAACAGTTTGTATATTTTCTTCGTAATAGCGTAGAAGGTCAACCAAGATATTACGCACAAATTAATGACTTACAGTCCCTCCCGAATG